TTTCTCTTATCAGTCATAATTATCTGTAAGCATTTCTGGAGCACTTTTATCATACCCTGTAATGTATGTTGTGCCACACACAAATATCTAGTATTGTTTTGGATCAGAGTATGTATTATCAAGGGATACGCTAAACCAGTTAGACCCTGATCCATCAGATTATTGTAAGCATGTGCATAACTTCAAGCACCTGATTAATCCTGGTACGTCTACTCTGGAATAAAAGATCTGTGACATAACTGTAGCTGGCCTGGGTCAGCTGACTCGAGATTGGGTTGTAGGGCTAAAAATTGCAGTGTAGACATTCGGGTTTGGGCTGGAGCCTGGGCTCAGGACCCCACCTTGCCTTTTTCCAACCCTGCGTTGACATACCCGAAGAAGTCAATGAGACTCTCAAGTGCTTAGTTACTCATATGCATAAGTGTCTTTCTGAAACAGGACTTGAATGAATATAATGTGAGAACTGATAAATATTAATTAGCAATTACATGGATTTCAATTTAAGGTTTTCATAATTGAAAAGAATGACTTTTTTTCTAACTAGAACATTTTCTAACTCTTCACTGTTAGAGGTCTATGAGCCGCAAATTTCTGTTCTGAACTTTTATGAAGTATGGAGTATGGAAGGCCCAAGATGGAGTTCCAGATGTAACTCCTATCTCTAGTTGTTGCTGAACATGGATATTGTGGTTTTGCCTAAAGACTACAGTTAGGTTGGGTCCCATTGAGCTAGGCACTGTGCAAACACATAATGAATGACAGTCCCTGTCCCAAAGAGCATACAGTCAAAAAGACAAACGTAACAGGTTGAAAATGCAAACGAGTGGGCATGGGAAGGCTTGGTGAGTCAGGGTAACAAACATAATAAAATCTGCAAGTTCTTAGTTGCTTGGTCAGTAGTTGTGAACACAGCTTTCTGCCTGCCTTTAGCCATTATGTTGCACTTTACTGAATGTATTTTAAATTTGGCTCAGACTCTCAAAAGAGCTTAGCATGTTGGGTACTGTGCTCTTTAGAAAATTTGGCCCGTGTTACATATAGTGGATTGTTTTTTCCTGCATAGTTGTTGATAGTCTGTGTGAGCATCCATACAGGAAATGAGCACCAATTTAGAACACATTTACTTTAAATGTGATCTTACAACTAAGCTTTTCCTTTGTTTATTTAAAAAACAAAAAATCTCCTCCATTGGAATAAACTCCAGGGTGGTGTACAAAGAATTTAGTGGTACATTGTAAACTATTTCAAAAGGCGAAATAAAGGAAGATTCAGGAATGCACTATAAACCATTGCAAATAAAGAGCTTTATCCTTGTGTTTGATTGAGTTGAAGTCCCTCTCCCCCATTGACTTCATGGGAAATTTCCATTTTAAAATGGGTCATATTTAAAAACTGCATGATATGGCCGAAAATATACATCTAGATTCGTAAATATAAAATTGTCATCTCTTTAGCATTAACCTTAAGAAATTTGTGTTTGTCTCCTGATTGTAATAAAATATTTTCTTACTATTGTACCAACACTATGCAAATAGGGATATTACAGAGCTACTTCAGGGCATCCTTTTAAATTTCAGGTTGTTCATTTCCTTGCACAGTTTTCCTTATGTGGAGTTGTGCTTTCTGTGTAGTATAGCATGTAGCTCATGTTACCACTGTCACCGAAGATAAGCGTTGTTGGTTTTTCTGCAGTATTAGCTTTTGGAAGACTGCTATGATGGGTTTATTACTTCCTTCCTTCTTGACAGATGTATATTTGTCTAATTGTATTTCTCATGGGCTAAATTTGCTCACCCCAAACTGCTGGTAATTGGAAAAACTAATCATATTTTTAAAAAAGAGTAGCTTAACGTATTAAATTATCACTGAAGATTTCTTTGGCTATTTATTTTTAGAGTCAACAGGTCAACTGTATTCTTTAATACTAAAACTGCAATGATGAAAATCTTCTGTTGATGTTTCTTAAGTTCAAAAAGGAGAAAAGGAATCCCACGTGTCTCAGGGTTGGCAAAAATTAAGTTCAAATTTCAGTAATGTTCAGTAACAGACACAGATTTATGCCTACCCAACCTCTCCTCAGTTCTGGCCTTGGGAGCTAAGTTTCTAACAGGCCATAATAATGGGCCTTTAAAAGTAAACAGGCACTCCTTGTTGCTAAATCCTTGTCAATGCCCCTCAACTCAGTCCAGATGTTGAAAAAATGTTCCTGCTTTAATGTTTACCAAGTGAACAACCCTCAGCACCAGTGCAGTCAACACAACAATGGGACTACACAGGTTTCACTGAGAGCATAATTTGGCAAATAGAACTTTTTCTATGAGAGAGAGAGAGAGAGAGAGAGAACCCAGCTTGACTCTCAGATCCAAGGCTGAATTTCAGGGCTGGCAGTTAAACTAGCAAATTGATCATTTTCTATAAGGAATCACTGAGGCATAAACAGTAGGTCCCCCACACCATGTTATTACTTCTAAGAATAAAATTTCACTTTTGCTGAAGATTTAAAGCAGTTTTGCAGTTAAGTACAACTTCCAGTTCTAAAAATGCGTCAGGTTTCCAGTAGTGTAGCAATTAATATTGCCAGTTCTTTCAGAAATGCACAAATGATTGAAATGGACTTTAAAAATGGAAAATAAACTGGAATTTTACAAATTTTACTGATGTCATCTTGAGCTGATTCATTCTCTCTTGGTAAGGGGTGATTTATAAGCCTTACTTTGAACAAGAATTCCTAGAACCACTCATTGGGATTAACAACAGGACAAACCATCTTACTCAGTAAACATCTTAAAGTATATTGAATATTAGACTTCAAATATAAGTACTTCCCAATTTACAAGATCCTTGTGACTTGTCACTTAAGACAGGGTCCCTCTAACCCAGAATCTCTGTTATCTTTCCCAAACAGCATTCCCATTAGCACAATCTCCTCAAAGATATCTATCTAAATTGCCCTGACCATCTCTCACTAACCCCAGGAACTGTTAAAGATTACGCATTAGCTCCAGTCTAGTCCATCTTCTGTTTCCTGGGCAACTCTTCCCTGGTCCCACTCTTCCCTAGACCGTTGTAGTTCATGGCTCAACTCATTATTGCTGTGGCTACCTTGGTAGCATTTTAGGCAAATCAAGCCAACATCAGTCCGCTTACCTCGGATTTCCCACTAGATGTTACTATGTTGGATAGACTCCGGGGCATATTACAATACATTCACTCATTTGAAAATGTGTTAACCTATGAATAATCTTTTAGGAAAGATGTGGAGCACTGCACAATTACAAATATGGGAAAATCTGTAGTAAAGGTCCAGGGTGTACGGATATGTACCAAGCTTTTCCAGTCCTCTTGTAGTCTGCGAGGAAGCCTGTGCACCCCATTTACAGACAGCTCCTCAGTTTGGATATCCATGGAAATGTATATATTTGTCTACACTATTACATGGATTTTTGCTGATGGCAGGTTACTGCTGCTTAGAGTTTTTTTTTAATTTACTGTCCGTTTTCTGTGACAAATTATTTTGATTTTTGCAGGATAACATACCGTACATTTTATTTAGGCATGGTTGTGACTCCTCCCATATTTCTCCAAACCATACCCTCTTTCAGCAAATACTTTGAGTGACTATAGTGTAGGCATGTCAGCAGTATATCAAATAGAAAGAATAGCATTTGGAGGCAAACTTTATAGTGAGTTGATATGTTTTTCAGCACAAAAGCAGTGGTGGAAACATATTGCACTTAATTAAAAGAAATTTGATGCATGAATCAGAAAAGAATTTGGCTCAGTCCCCTGTAGCTAACTGTATTGGGTCTGTAGAATTAACCAGAGTCAAAGTAGGAAAAGCTTATTTTCGTCAGTAAAGCAAGCAGATAGAGCTCCAAATATGCTTGAGGAATATATATCATTGAGTAAAAAGGTGTTAATTTTAGTCACCGTCATAAACAAAACCACACTTAAGCTTACAGCTTTTCTTTCTTTGCATGTTTTTTACATTTTTTTGTTTTCCATTACATTCCAGAGTATTCAAACTGTTTTATTTTACAATAATTGTCCTGAGCTGATGTCATGCTCATAACTATTATGATCTATGTAGTTTAATATATTTATTAATATGTAGCACTTGTAGAACATCGTACATCTTCAAAGTGCTTTATGTATATTAACTAATCACAGCACCTAGATAAAGAAACTTGTAGCTGGAGAAACTGATACAGAGATATTAAATGACTGCAGAGTCACACAGCAGTAAGTGGCAAACAGAACTAGAACCTCAGAGTCTCAGGCTAGGTCTACGCTACCTGCCTGAATCGGCGGGTAGAAATCGACCTCTCGGGGATCGATTTATCGCGTCCCGTCAGGACGCGACAATCGATCCCCGAATCGACGCTCTTACTCCACCAGCGAAGGTGGGAGTAAGAGCCGTCGACGGGAAGCCGCGGAGGTCGATTTTGCCGCCGTCCTCCCAGCGGGGTAAGTCGGCTGCGATACGTCGAATTCAGCTACGCTATTCGCGTAGCTGAATTTGCGTATCTTAAATCGCCCCCCCCCCCCCCCCGTAGTGAAGACGTAGCCTCAGATCCCTAGTCCTGTTCAAACTCCTTTAGACCATGCTTAGTCTGAATTATGCTTCAGCTTTGCTCCTAATAGATGTACAATAAAAAGAATTGCCACCATCCTAACTGAATGCCACAAACTTTTGTATGATATTCTCTTCTTTAAAGTTTGCCCTTTGCCCTTCTGCTGTAGTTGGCATAGGAGGGGACCTTTGGGAGATCACCCCTTGCCAAAGTGGGTTATAAAATTTAAGTGGAGTTAGCCTCCTTTCTCCAGAAAAGAGAAAAGGTGTGTTTAATGCAGGCTCTTTCTTACAGACTGTGGAATTTTGTTTCCTTCTTTAGCACTGATTGAAATTACATGAAACTTGCTCTTTTTTTAAAATGTGTTTATCAAATAAATTCATTCACATGCCAAGCAGATTTATTTATTTAACTTTTATTTTCTAGTTGGGGAATGGCGGTCAACGTGTATTCTACCTCTATAACCCAAGAGACTATGAGCAGACATGACATCATTGCATGGGTTAATGACATAGTAGCTTTAAACTACACAAAAGTCGAACAACTTTGTTCAGGTAAGATATTATTTTAAAATACTGTATATTCATAAAAAAAGTGTTGAATCTAAAAATCTGATTTTATGAAAATGTATACCTCTAATGCTGTCTGTGTCAGAGGATAGCTCTTTTGAGGAAAGACAGTCTGAAAAATGTATCCAACCATGTATTTTGTGTAGCTGAGTTAAAAATGTGTTATGGAAGGATAAGGTTGTTTGAGGAAGCAAAATGAATGCAGAACATGAAGAGTCTAGATAAAGCTGCAGATAAAATCTAGTAATAAATATGATTAAGCAGCAAAGGAAAGGAATGCAATAGAGAATTTCTGTATTAAAAGTATAGTACAGTTACTGAAGAAAGTAGCTTTAAAACATAGGTACAAAACTGGGAATTATATTATCTGAAAAGTGACAACCTTAGTGAAAGCAACATTATACACTAATGGAATGGCGGGTACCCAGATGAATAAAATACTCCAAGAGTTATTCACCAGTGGTAAGTGTCCTGAAATCCTTGTTGGAGGGCACACACAAAAATCACAGAAAAGTGGTGATGTGAAATGAAGTGGGACATAGTGGGTTTGAAAAAATCATCATTTAACTGCTGCAAGATGTTCCTAAAGTGTGCCAGGCACGTCTGCTTATTTCCTCTGCATATATGGCAGGCCCTTGCTGTAGGCAATGAGATCTAGGAATAGAGAAGATGTTTTTAGGAACTCCATGATTTAATAGAAGTGGAGGTTGCAAGCTGTCTGTAAAACAGCAGGTTCTGTAACTAGGTTGCAGCTAGGAAAGTGGAAGTTATGGGCAGTGAGCGGTGTCAGATTGCATCATAACTTCTGTTTGTAGTTTTTCAAAATGAAAAGTGTTTCTGTGAAGGAGAGCTAATAAGATCATTGCTCCAAACTCTTTACCTGGCATGCTGTGACTTCATATCTGCTAAGACAGTGCTTTGAGGGTGCAGGACAACTGAATCCATGTAACCACTTCATCAAAAATTAGATCCATTGACCAAGTTGAAATTTTATTGTAAGAATGATGATCCTCTTAGATATTTGATTTTTACTTACCACTTCTTCTGTAGATGTCCATCTCAATCAGATTTTCATGAAAGATATGGTACATCGTGTCCTCCAAAATGCTAGCTTACTGGGTACTGGAACAAATTATTGAACAATTAGTTTATAAGTACCTAGAGGATAATAGGATTATAAGTAATAGCCAGTATGGATTTGTCAAGAACCTCTGACAGGGTTACTGGACCAGTGGATGGGGTTGGGGAGGAGAAGGTCTAGGCTTGATATAGCTTGATTTTAGTAAGGCTTTGACAGAGTCCCATGTGACATTGTCATAAGCAAAGTAAGGAAATGTGGTGTAGATAAAATTACTATAAGATGCTGCATAATTGAGTGAAAGACCATACTCAAAGAGTAATTATCAAGGGTTCACTTTCAAACTGGGATGATATCTAATGGGGTCCCGCAGAGGTCTATCTTGGGTCATGAACTAATCAATATTTTCCTTAATGATTTGGATGATGGAGAGGGTATAGTTATAAAATTTGCCAGTGACACCAAGCTGAGCGGCATTTCAAGCACTTGGTAGGACGAGATTAAATTCAGTGAAGACAAATGCGAAGAACTACAGTTAAAAAAAAATAAATAAAAAAAATCAAACCCCCAACTACAAAAAGGGAATAACTGGGTAGGCAGTAGTACCTTTGAAAAGAATCTGTACGTTACAGTGGATCACAAATTGAATGAGTCAACAATGTGATGCAGTTGTGAAAAAAGCTAATATAGTTCTGGAGTGTATTGATAGGAGGGTTGTATGTAAGACATGGGAGGTAACTGTCCCACTCTTCTTGGCAGTGGTGAGGCCTTAGCTGGAGTACTATGTCCAATTCTGGGAACCACACTTTAAGAAAGATATGGACAAACTGGAGAGAGTCCAGAGGGGAGAGTAACAAAAATAAAAGGTTAGAAAATATGACCTATGAGGAAAGCTTTAAAAAACTAATCAAGTTTGGTCTTGAGAAAAGAAGACTGAGGAGGACCTGATAAATCTACAAATATGTTAAGGGCTGCTACAAAGAGGATGGTGATCAGTTGCTCTTCATGTATACTGAAGGTAGGACAAGAAGTAATTGGCTTGATTTGCAGCAAGGGAGATTTAGGGCAGATATTAAGGAAACTTTCCAACTATAAGGATAGTTAAGCTTCGTCATTGAAGGTTTTTAAGAACAGGTTATACAAATGCCTAACAAGGGTGGTCTAGATATACATGGTCCTGCCTCAGGGCAGGGGGGTAGACAAGATGACCTCTTGAGGTTACAGCCCTACATTTCTGTGTTTCTAAATTATCTGAATATAAGCTCCACAGAGTAGTCAAAACAATTAAAAACTGATATGAAGGAACAACCCACCCACTTGCAGAAATCTGTCCACTTTGCATACATAAGCAAATTTCACTACAGGACTTGTGAAAGTTGTGTTGCTACAGTACAGGTCAATGTAACTAATATAGTTGCTAAACATAAGATGAGTAGTTAAAAAATATCGCGTTGTAGCATGTTATTTTTGCTGAACCGAGATCTCCTTGGGTTGGTTTTTTTGTAAATGTCTAATTGAAGCAAAAACACTACACCTAGCTGGTGTTTTAATTAAGTTTCATACATTTGTCTGAATATTGCTTTTGGCAAATTGTTTCAAAGTATTGGCATCTAACTATATAATATGACACAATAAGGTACATGAGGATAGACACCTGCTCCCCAAACTTCCAGCATTTATCACTGTTTAAGACAGGAAACACAATGGACAGGATGAGCTATTGATTAGTTCCTGTATGACCATTCAAATGCTTCTGAAATGTCTGAAGTTAAGCTTCGAAGCTAATACCCCATCATCTTGAATGTTTGCAGATTTAAATAAAAGCTTTCATGATATAATTCCATAACCAAAAAGGAAAAATAGTTGATAATTTAGAATAGAAGACAATTTAAATGTGGAGAATGCAGTGAAAGTTAGAGATCTTAAATCTCTAAATCTGGATTGTCCATAGTTGGTGGGGAAAATGCCATGAATTCATTGTCCTGTTTTATTACACATGAGAAATTCTCATAGGAACTCTTTCTGTGTCTTCAAGCAAGGATTTTAGGGTGTACCACGGGAGGAACTGAAACAAGGCTGCCTTATCAGAGTTCTCATCCCCACCTTTTCTGTACTTAGTATTAAATGAAATCTAGGATTGTATTAGCTTTCAGATTCTGTCTTTGTATATTTTTTCCATTCTCCATGTTGTTTTTATATTCAAACATTGATAGACCAAATTGCTTTACATTTATTTACCAATTCAGTTTGAGATTTTAGCTTTATATTTTTTTCTCAGGCATTCTTATTCTACTGCCTAAATGCTCATGTAAGAATCCAATCAAGGATTCAGCCTTGCATTTTTTGGTATGAGAGAGTTCCAAGTTTCTACAGTCCAAAAAGATCTCAGTGTCTGAAATATTGACACTGATTCAGGTTCTCGCAAACAATTTTCATAATGTGGACCACAACAGTCTGATGGACCACTTCCCTTGCCATTTGTGATTTCACAGACCCATCTCCCTCCCCAGTCCTCCGCCCGTGTTATTAAAGAAAACCCCTGTGGCAGCTACAGTAATTGTTTACATGGCAAAGTAATATTAAGGAAGCACTTGCTGTATTTTTTTAGTTGTCTTTTAATGCAGTTTAGCAGATGAAAGCAAGAAGGCAAGCTAGTACCCTGTGACCAGCGAGCTGTCTGTGGACCACCAACAAGGGCTGCACGGACCACAGTTTGAGAACGGCTGATCTAATTCATTCATTCTAGCATTCTTTTGGCCATCGTTCCTTAATGCATTTGCAACCTTCATGCAGCTTAACATTAGTTTCCATAAAATATGAGCATTTCTGGAAGACTTCAAAGGGAAGGAGGATGTGGGAAACTTTGTAACACTTGGAAGCATTTCACAGTATTATAGTGAGCTACAGAGCGACTAAGATAACTGGATTTTATCGCCTAATATAAAACTGTAAGGGCATTTTGCTTTCTTTAATAAAAAAAAAGGCATTAAGATTTGTAATGCAGTCTTATGCATTTTCAATTTGTGCTCATTTTTGGCAACAAGAAGCAATCCAAATGCCAGAAAAAGCTGGGGTCAAATAAAAAAAAAAAAAGGAAAAATCATCTACTGTTTGAGTGCAAAACACTAAGGCCCCATTTTGTAGAATGATGAACACCCTTGGCTCTCACTGATGCCAGCTGAAATGATGGCACTCAGGTTCTGCATACACTGGAGTAATGCATATACTTCAGAGACAGTTTTAAACGTTTTGAGTATAAAGGAAAAACAATAGGATGACACTGTGCCTTTAGGTAAGCTTTTGAGTTCTAAATAAATATTGCAGTGAAAAGCTTCAGGTGACAATTTTTAATGGAAGGAAGAACAGCTAAGGCCACTGGAGTCTTTCTTCATTTTTCATTGCTGTTAAGGAGTGGTATGAATAGTGTATGTACTATAGAGAGACCAGCTTGTTTCCCAGTAGCTGGTTAGATGAATAGAGCTAGGATGAGAAGCAGCAAAGGAAGAGGCTGCTTTTTACAATTACACAGTATTTGTATTCATCTTGAGTCTTGGATGTGTTTTTGTCCTTGCAAAGTAGGTCGAGTGCCGCGTAGTGTCCCCTGTGCTTTCAGAATGCCTGCTGTAGTAGTGAGGTGCCAAAAGGACTGGGTTATGGATGAATTCAGCCCTGGAGAATCTAAATTTAGTCTGCAGCTCTGATAATTTAGCTTTGACAACATAGACAAGGAACACTCTCCAAATATATAAAAGCCTTGGAATTATCTTCACTTTGGGGAGGTGGGTATTTTGTCATTCTTGTTCTCTAGCCAAAAAGGTTGAATTGGTTTTGCATTTGATTGTTGAATTGAATATGAAAATGTGTATCTTCAACTACATGTGTCATTATAGCATGTCAGTCTACTGTC